AAAAAAATGGGCTTTAAAAATATTTTCTCAAAAAACCCTTAAACACGTAAACTGAGATTTAAGTTCAAGTATTTTTATCCAAAATTTCTTAAAGAATAATAAAGGCGTTTTGGAGTTGGATTTTTTATACAGTTGTTGCTTTACTTTTGTCCAATAGTGTATATATATATATTCGTCAAGTAATTTTTCATCAATTTTTAAAAAATTTCGAGTGTCTACTGTCAAAATAAACCCTCTTTTAAATGTATTTAAAAAAATTTATAAATCTTCTAAAACAAAAAATTTACTGACCTTTATCCAAAAAAAATATATATTCGTCATGAAAGTCAAGTAATTTATCATCAATTTTGAGAATTTTTTTGAGTGTCTACTGTCAAAATAACGCTCTTTTAAATGCATTTTACAATTTTTCTAAATCTTCTAAAACAAAAAAATTAGTGACGTTTTTCCAAAAATAGATATTTGTCATTTAAGTCTATATTTTAATTTTAAATGTATTTTAATTATTTTTAATTTTAAGTATTTTTAAAAATCTTTTAAAGCATAAAAATTACTGATGTTCTTCCAGACAACATTCGTCATTTACTTGAGTAGTAATTTATCATAAATTTTGACAATTTTTGAGTGTCTACTGTCAAAAAAAGGATCTTTTAAATGCATTTTGCAATTTTTAAAAATCTTCTAAAACAAAAAAATTACTTTCGTTTTTTCAAAAATAAATATTCGTCCTGTAGATATATTAACTTATCATCAATTTTGACAATTTTTTGAGTGTCTATAGTCAACATTAGGTTCTTTTAAATGCAATTTCCAATTTTTAAAAATCTTCTTAAACAAAAAAATACTGCTCTCTATTAAAAAAAAATCGTCATGTAAGTATAGGCCTTTCCATCTCAAATCGACCAGGCAAAAAGTGGTAGGTCGTTATTTTTTACCGAATTACCCTTTTTACGAGTGACATTTTTTCTTAAAAATGCGATAACTTGGCCAAAACTCAGTTTTTTATATTACCAACAAACAAATTGAGTAAATTCACTTAATTTTGTATTTTAAGGATCGAAGCAGTTTTCAAACTGCTTCGATCCTTAAAATACAAAATTAAGTGAATTTACTCAATTTGTTTGTTGGTAATATAAAAAACTTTCACCAAAAGTCCCGAGTTGGCTAAATTCATCGTTTCGGAATTATTTTTTTTTATTGAAAATGCCATTTTCTAGTAATTCGTGGTTCATCGCAAAAATTTAGTATTTTATCTAGGGTCATGAAACTAGAGTGACCTTTATAAAGTGTAGTTTACAACTATTGACATTTTTCAAAAATAAATATTCGTCCTGTAATTATAGTAACTTATAATAAATTTTGACAATTTTTTAAGGGTCTATTGTCAAATAAAATGTATTTTAGTTTTTCTAAATCTTTTAAATCAATAAAATTACTGACGTTTTTCTAAAAATAGATATTTGTCATGTAAGTCTAGTAATTTATCATCAATTTTGACAATTTTGTGAGTGTCTAATGACAAAATAACGCTCTTTTAAATGCATTTTACAATTTCTAAAAATCTTCTAAAACAAATGTTTCCACAATCAAGGACATAGGTGTACTATTTGATTATAAAGTTACCTTTAATGATCATATAAATGAAATCATAAACAGATCATATTGTATGTTAGGGTAGTATTGTCTGGTCACAACACTATCATCTACATTAACCAAACTGAAAGAGTCCAAAATAAATTCTTAAGAACGTGTGCCTTTAAACTAAATATTTTTCCAATACCAACGGACCTATGCGACATAAGGCTTATAATAAATTTACCTTTATTAAAAACTAGAAGACAGGGTAACGAAATATTATTTCTTTACAAACTTTTAAGTAATCTGATAAATACTATTTATTAAATAGCTCCTCACTTCTGGCAGATATTAGATTTCATGCACCTCTAAGAGTAAACCGTCCGAGTATTTTATTTTACACTAACACATATAGAACTAATCTTATTTCAGATCATAAATATATATTTTACAAAATAGGCATAAACTTGAAAACAGAACCTATATCCACTTATAAAAGAAGGTATGGTGTTCAGACTCAGATTCAACAGTTCTGTCTGGATTTGTCAGGGGAATCTTGGTCTAATATGTTTATGTTGAAGGATTTAAACGATAAATATAATATGTTTTTAAATATATTTAACTATTATTTTCAGCTTAATTTTCCTAAAGTGAAGGTTTTTAACACAAACAACAAAAAATCATGGATCAACAATAATATAATAATATCTAGCCATAAACTAAAAAATATGTATTTTTTACAAAAAGAAAATATAATATGCAAAACAACATATAATAAATTTAAAAGCAATCATCAAAAACTAATTAATTGTACAAAAAAAGAGTTTTACCAAGACCAGATTACTTCCTCGGCCAATCCGAGCAGAACTGTTTGGCAGATTATTCATCAAGGTAACAAAAAACTAACAAATATTCACCTAAAACATAATAATGAAATTATAAAGTCTCCTAAATTAGTTACAAACAAGTTTAATAATTTTTTTGTGGATATTGTTAAAACAACACATAGCAAAATTCCAAACATATCTAAAATGTCAACGCATATGAGTAAATTATCCCATAGTATGTGCCTTATGCCATTTACTGAATCGGAAGTTCTGGGTTTATTTAGCAAGCTTAAAAGCAAAAAATCATATGGTCCAGATGAGATTTCGGTGTGTTTATTGAAGAAAGTATGTGAACCGCTTATTATTCCTATAACCCATTTAATTAACAGTTCTTTTGCAAAGGGTGCCTTTCCCGATGCTCTGAAGACCTCACGCATAATTCCAATTTTGAAAAGGGCGATCCAGAAGGTGTGGAAAACTACAGACCTGTGGCTTTAACTTCGTCATTTTCAAAAATCTTTGAATATGCTATGCTTGACAGACTTACTAGCTATTTAAAGAAAAATAACATTTTATTAGATAACCAACATGGTTTTAGGTCTAAACATTCCACACTTTCTGCAATAAACATTTTTTACCAAAAACTAGTTGAATTTATTAACGCGGGCGAGTGCCCTGTGGGCATATTTTGTGATCTTAGCAGGGCATTTGACTGCGTTGATCATAACATTCTTCTAGATAAACTTAAAAATTACGGAATTCGAGGAGTTGCCAGTGATTGGGTAAGGTCGTACCTAAGCAAAAGAAAACAATATGTTGAATGCATGGGGGTCTCATCTGAACGCACTGATAATAAGACAGGTGTACCTCAGGGATCAATACTGGGCCCTGTTCTTTTCATTTTGTTTATGAATGATCTACCTGCATACCTTCATAAAGAGTGTCTGGTGATGTACGCCGATGACTCCACTGTTTTGGTCTCGGATAGAGACAATAATAAACTCTTGGAAAGGTGTAGCAGAGCCGTATCAAAATTATGTGACTGGTTCTGCCAAAACAAATTATACTTTAACACTTCCAAAACTAGTTGTATAAAATTTCACACAATTCAAAAAAGCATAGAGCCAGTTACTTTTACTATAAATAACGCAACTGTCTCAAATTCCAGAGCGGTGAAATTTCTCGGCGTATATTTCCAGGATACTTTAAAGTGGAATGAGCATTGTTCGCACTTGATCTCCACGTTAAGCTCAAAATGTTATCAAATAAGATTTTTAAAACCCATTTTAACATTGGAACAGATTAAGTGCTATTACTATGCGGAGGTGTACTCGAGACTGGTTTACGGTTTATGTTTTTGGGGCTCTTCACATATAGCTAAAGACGTTTTTATTATACAAAAGAGAATTTTAAGGTGTATTATGGGTCTCGTGCAGGAACGTTTTTAAAACATTGGGCATTTTACCTCTTCCCTCCATATACATTCTTGAAATTCTTAAATTTGTTTATGGTTTAAGAAATACATACAACGTCAACAATAAAGTTCATAGCCATAACACCAGGCAAAAATACAACTTTTATCTGACGCGGCCCAGAGTTTACATATTTAAGAATTCACCAGGCTACCTGGGTCAGAAGTTCTTCAATGCATTACCAGAAGAAGTCAAACAAATAAACAGTTATACGCAATTTAAAAAAAAGATCTTGGCAATGGAAAATAATTTTTATAGTATAGATGAATTTCTAAAATTTTTACATTTTTGTAAATGTCTTTATATCTTTTTGTAAATGTCTTTATAATTGATGTTATAATATTTTGTATTTTTATCTTTTGACATGTCTTATACAATTGTAAAATTGTCTTTTGGACTAATAAATATATTATTATTATTATAATTACTCATATAATATAACAATGGATCAGGCAATTAAAAATAAACTTAGATGGGATATGAACGTTTGTTATATACTAACTAATTGTTATTTGTGATTATTTCGCTTTTACCAGTTTCTATTGTTTTTGTTTATTTAAATTATTAACTTTATTACTTTTTAATGTTTATATGTTTAAATATTTATGTAATTTTAGTTGTCTTGTATCCTAACTAATTGTTATTTGTGATTACTGCTTTTACCAATTTCTGTTTTTTTTTTTATTTAAATTATTAATGTTTAAATATTTATGTAATTTTAGTTGTCTTGTTATATACTAACTAATTGTTATTTGTGATTATATGGCTTGTTCCAGTTTCTGTTTTTTTGTTTATTTAAATTATTAATTTTTATGGCTTTTGAATGTTTAAATATTTATGTAATTTTAGTTGTCTTGTTATATACTATTGTTATTTGTGATTATATGGCTTTTACCAGTTTCTGTTTTTTTGTTTATTTAAATTATTAATTTTATTACTTTTGAATGTTTAAATGTTTAAATATTTATGTAATTTTAGTTGTATCTTCTCCCAATAATTGTATACTGCACATGGCCTTGTGTGTCGTTAATAAAGTTTATTATTATCTTTGGGGTCCGCAAAACTCTCTTAATGGTGTAAAGTTGGCTTTAAAAAAACCTGCGCATATCAATAAGCTTTTACTCACCAGGAAAATGAAAAGATTGCTTGTGGTACGAGTGCGGCGTCGTTAAAGTTTGTAACGCGGGACTTGATGGCGTCGAACTGTTGCAACTAGATGTGTTTGAGCTTGAATCCGGATTCTGCAAAACAATTTGACTCTTAAATCAATCAAATCAATCTCCAGATCTCCTTGCACTTACATATTGAAATGGAGGTAGATTAATTGAAGGCTGCGGATGCGAGGGTTTTCGGAAGCTTTTTTGAGGTCTTGGTGGTGAAATTACACCATCGGTCATCTGGTTCTTAAAAGCGATGAGGTACTCTGGAGGCAGTCCGCACGAAGCTGGCACTTGCTCCTCGCACTGCCGGTGACAAGTGTACTTGCACTCGATACACTTGAGACTCGTCATGAAATAGATCGGTTTCAGGCAAAACGCGCACTTGTTTTTCACCTCGAACCTCTTGTTGAAGCGGTGGTTGATGTGGTGAGTCATCACAGGGGGCGCTGGCGTGCGCGGGGACTTCGGTACAGGCAAGGTGATGGCTACAAAAAAGTTTCAATTTTTAATTGTGCAATAGGCTTTTCAGTTGAATTTCTTCAAGAACAAACGAGGTATTTTAGTTTAAATAACAAAAAAATACTGACGTTTATTAAAAAAATATATATTCGTCATGTTAGTCTAGTAATTTATCATCAATTATAGCATTTTTTTAAGTGTCCACTGTCAAAATAACCTTATTTTATATGTACTTTACAATTTTTAAAAAGCTTCTAAAAGAAAAAATTTCTGACGTTTATCAAAAAGGCCCTGTTATAATAATAATAATAATAATGGCTATACTGTTTTGGGGTCAGAAATAAATAAATAAATAAAAAAATATATTTGTCATGTAAGTCTAGTAATTTATCATCAATTATGACAAGTTTTTAATTGTCCACTGTCAAAATAACCTCATTTAAAATGTACAATTTGTAAAAATTACTGACGTTTATGCAAAAAAAAAATATATTCGTCATGTAATTCAAATAATTTATCATCAATTTTGACAATTTTTTGAGTGTCCACTGTCAAAATAACCCTCTTATAAATGTATTTTACAATTTTTTAAAATCTTCCAAAAAAAAAATTACTGAAGTATATCCAAAAAAATATATTCTTCATGTAAGTCTAGTAATCAATCATCAATTTTGAAAATTTTTTGAGTAACCACTGTCAAAATAACCCTTTTTTAAATGTATTTTACAATTTTTAAAAATCTTCTAAAACAAAAAAAATACTGATGTTTATCCAAAACAAAATATATTCTTCTTGTAAGTCTAGTAATTTATCATCAATTATTACAATTTTTTGAGTGTCAACTGTCAAAATAACATAAATGTATTTTACAATTTTTTAAAATCTTCTGAAACAAAAAAGTTCAAAAAAATAAATTTGTCATGTAGTCTAGTAATTTATCATCAATTTGGCAATTTTTTGAGTAAGCACTGTCAAAATAACCTTCTTTTAAATGTATTTTACAATTTTTAAAAGTCTTCTAAAACAAAAAAAATACTGATGTTTATCAAAAAAATATATAATCAGGGTGTTATGTAATTAATGTTATATATTAAAATACTGAATACCTTTTGACATAAGGTGTAATGGAAAAATATTTTAAAAGATATTTTCCCAAAGATAAAGAAAATATATGCATTAGAAGTTTTTTATATTTTTTGTGATACGCCACTGGTTACACACTTGTGTTCTGTCAGTACTATGCTCCACACTTCAAAGTCCCACCACGTGACCACGTACGGAACGCAGTCTTTTGATAATTTGTCATTTAAGGCTTTTCAGGTTATGTATCTGTCAAAGTATAGTCAATGCAAGAAATAATATTTATACTGTTACCATTTATGTTTAAGCGTTAAATTTTAACTTAAAAGTTTATAAATCTTTATAGTATCACAGTAACAATGGTTGGTTTAATGAAATTCTAAAGTGTATAGTGCCAAATAAGTAAAATTTTTGTGCATTTGGTCTACATATATCTGGTTTTATCCATTAAATAGTTTTAACTAAACAGCATTTATTAAAAAAATTTAGCTTGTCTATTATGGAATAAGAATATCTGTATCAAAGGTAGGTTAATATATTATAACAAAAAATATCATCTAATTTTGAAATTTTAAGGTTAGAAAAATCTATTTTGATCAAAATAAATAAGTATTTTGGATTATTTGGAAGAGTGTGTTAATATGGTCATATAAATATAGATATACTAAATAATTGTTGAATATGGTTCAAATTAAATTAAAGCTTTTATACTCCTAACAACAAAACTTGTGCATACCTCTCGGGATCCCTATTTTAAGTTAGATTATAAGGAAACAAACAATTTTTAGAGATACATGCAATGTAAAAACATTTAATACTCCCATAACATGTGATTTTTGAAATTTTTAAAAGTTATAATGATTTTTCGATGAAGATAAAATTCATTTGAAGCTATACGTAATTGTATTGACAAAACTTTATGTAGGTATACTTTAAGCTGGATAAGAAAGACTACCTACTACAAGTAAAAATATTAGATAGAGTATACTGTGGTTTTATTTAAATTTTAGAATTTATAAGGGTATTTATCAGTGGCGGCTCGTGGCAGTAAAATTTGTGAGTTCTGCCAGTGGGGTTTAAAAAAATGTGGCGCAGTGGGCATTTAATTAAATGGTACCTACAGTTAATTAATTAAATCATAATTAAATCATACACCACATTAATTCTTACAAAAGAATACAACAACAAACACAAAAATACACCGAATTAACAGTCTTCTAGTTAAAATAACAAACGTGCACGCGAAGCGAAAAACAAACGACCGGGAAGTAGGAACTGTATGTTGGTGCAGCTCCGGTTTGGCTTAAATTTCACTATCTTAACCTAGGACCAAGAGCGGCGCGGAGCGGTATTGAAATGGGAGCCAGAACTCGAAAGTGGCCCAGCTTTGTTGTATTGTAAGCGTTAAGCGTTAGAGACCTTTACCGGTCGTTTGGATGACTGTAGTGGCCAAGTACGGCGAATGTTTATAATAAAAACTTTTTATGCAGCCATGCGTTTGAAATATTCATACACTGTCGCACTTAAATATTAAATAATTAAAAAATTAGTCAAGTAATAAGAAAATTTTGGGAGTTCTGCAGCTCTGCAGCCCTTATGCACTAGCCGCCCCTGGTATTTATACCTAATGATTGTTCGATGTAGATAAAATTTTGTCGAAGCTTTTATAGGTACTTGTATTGACACTATGGGTATATTAGCTGACAGTAAGGAACTTTAAGAACTTTAAGAAGGTTAGCTATTGAATTTTCAAAAACACTTGTAAAAACAATTTACAGTTACAGTACCTACCTAATGGTTTTATATTTGAGATCTCTCATGGTGCTTATTTCCAAGAGCAAGTTATTTAATTACAGCTTACATTTAGGTAGTGGATGACTAATTTGTTTTACTTGGGCATAAATATTTATTTATTTAAAGTACCTACATATAAACATCTTTGATTAATTAAATAAACAAAAAATAATATATTTTAAATAAAAATTTAAAGAATCTAAAATCGATAAAAGTTCAAAAACTCACATATAGAAAAAAAATAAGTTTGGAAATTTGTAAAATAATAAAAAACATTATTTAAAATTATTTAATAATTTGAAAATTTTAATAATTTTAAGGTGTTGTTTTTAGATTCCTTCTTTTAAATTAACCCCTTTTAATATTTAATTAATTTTAAAAATCTTAAAATAGTTAAGTTTTACAGTTGAAAATATTTATGCCGGAGTAAAACAAAATAGACATCATAATTGAACAACTGGCTCTTGGAAATAAGCAATATTAAACATTTCAAATATAAAACCATTAGATTTTTTTTTTTTTTTTTATTGAAAAGTAATATCCAAATAGCCGAAATGGGCTTTGACAGATATGTAATTTACAAATAGATTTAAAATTAACATTTAGCAATAAATAATTAAAATATAATACTATAATATGATACTTAATTTTAAAAAACTGTAAATTCTTTTTAAAAATTCAATAGCTAACCTTTTTAAAGTTCCTTACACTGTCAGCTAATATACCCATAGTGTCAATACAAGTACCTATAAAAGCTTCGACAAAATTTTATCTACATCAAACAATCATTAGGTATAAATAACCTTATAAATTCTAAAATTTAAATAAAACCACAGTATACTCTATCTAATATTTTTACTTGTAGTAGTCTTTCTTATCCAGCTTAAAGTATACCTACATAAAGTTTTGTCAATACAATTACGTATAGCTTCAACTGAATTTTATCTTCATCGAAAAATCATTATAACTTTTAAAAATTTCAAAAATCACATGTTATGGGAGTATTAAATGTTTTTACATTGCATGTATCTCTAAAAATTGTTTGTTTCCTTATAATCTAACTTAAAATAGGGATCCCGAGAGGTATGCACAAGTTTTGTCGTTAGGAGTATAAAAGCTTTAATTTAATTTGAACCATATTCAACAATTATTTAGTATATCTATATTTATATGACCATATTAACACAATCTTCCAAATAATCCAAAATACTTATTTATTTTGATCAAAATAGATTTTTCTAACCTTAAAATTTTAAAATTAGATGATATTTTTTGTTATAATATATTAACCTACCTTTGATACAGATATTCTTATTCCATAATAGAGAAGCTAGATATTTTTAATAAATGCCGTTTAGTTAAAACTATTTTATGGACAAAACCAGATATAATATATTAACATATTATGTAGACCAAATGCACAAAAATTTTACTTATTTGGCACTATATACTTTAGAATTTCATTAAATGCAGTATTTATACTCCTAAACTCTTAAACCAACCATTGTAACTGTGATACTATAAAGATTTTTTAACGCTTAAACATAAACGGTAAAAGTATAAATATTATTTCTTTCATTGACTATACTTTGACAGATACATAACCTAAAAAGCCTTAAATGACAAATTTTCAAAAGACTGCGTTCCGTACGTGGTCACGTGGTGGGACTTTGAAGTGTGGAGCATAGTACATAGATACAAACCAACAAAGTAGCTGCGCGTTGCCAGTTGTAAAAAAATTGTTACTAAAAAATTTTCTTGCAAAAAATAAATAAAAACTCAATAAATACAAAAGTTTTATGCCCTTAAAGCTCTAATACCATTCTGTATTTATTTACTCATCCAGCTATTAACTTAAGCAATGATAAGAAAAATTAGTACCTACCTATTTAAAAACTCCATAAAATTATTTTTTCATCGGTTTTTTTCTTTCTGTTTACTCAGATGAAATTAGGACAAGTTCACAGGTTAATCGTTAAACATTCAATTTGTGTAAATAAATCCAAACTCCCAAAATCACTTCCCTTAGTTAAGATATTTTTTCTACTACCTTAATGGAAAACTTAATTTTTCACCCCCGAGCGAGGGAGGAAAATGCCTCTTTTCCTCCCCGGGAGGAAAAAATATTTCCTCCCTCTATTTTTTTTAACAA